ACTTTAGTAAAGCCAACGCTCTAACCATCTGAGATACGAGGCCCCACCGGACGACGCGAGTTTAATCACACTTGGGTCAAATTTACCCGCCCAACCTACTGCGAAGTCTGGATCCACCAAATCTGATGCAGTAAGTTGACTGTCTAAGCAGGATTTCCCAATGTAGAGCGTTGGCTGTACTAAAGCCTCCGCTTGCTGTCGTGGGTTCGAATCCCACTGAGGCACTAATTTTTCACAGTTGGGTCAAAGTGAATTATTTGAGATCTGCCAAAGCACATCTGAATCGCAGATAGTAGCTAAAAGCTCAGTCACTTGTTTCGTCGATATTCCGCCACTGCATGACACAGTTGAGAGTTCTTTGGTTCAACAGTGATCCTTCAGCGTTCCCCATGTGTTTCTATGGTAGATACTCCAGTTTCGAAGCTGCATATTTTTTATTTCCTCAGAAGTTATTCACAAACCTGTAGTAAATCAGTCTATTTGAGACTCATGGACTCATATTTGGACAGCGATAGGGGAATAACCGCGAAATATTCGTAAATTGTCAACAGGTTACTCCGCTTTGACCGACGGATTTCGGCCCAGATATTCATATCAAGTTTTAGTCTATCAGTAAGTCTTAAATAAACTGGTTTACTCCAGTTTAGCGATTAATTTCTGAGGAAATACAAAACTGGAACAGTTTGGTTGGATTGTCAACGCAAACCACCCATATATTTATTTGACTCCGGGACTTTTTGCGGCACATGAAGGTGAGCCCTCAAGTACCAGAATAGTAAAAATGAAGAAAAGAACAGTGTGATTGCTGGGGCAAAACAGTTTATTCTGCTGAACCATCTGGTTTACCTGTGGAGTTTCGGAAGTCCGAGGGGTTTAAAAACTCAAAAATTTCCCTATGTACAATAGGTGGGCTAATTCATGAAATGTCACCCGAAATTTCGAAATGCATTCGGTAGAAAATCAAGTTTTCTTCAATTTTACACTCGAAAGAAGAGTATAATTCGGTTTTAAAAAAACTTTTCCAATTCCCGAATAATTTCGAACCCGACCTGCTGTTATACCTGCATTCAGGGTTCCCAACCTACAAGCCGTATCTTTTCCGTGTAACGAAAACCATACATTTCTCTACGGTATTAAGAGGAGACCATATGAGTTTCATGAAATAAAGCAGTGGATTTGAGCACTTTTGTTAACTTTATAAGCCACATTGGTAAATGAAGATACATGGCGCTTTATGGGCGGCCATTGCACGGTATTAAAAAATCACAATTAGAAATTTTTTTGAAACCGAATTATACTTCTCCTTCGAGAACGATATTGAAAGAAAACGTTATTTTCCACGGTATAAATCAAAGAGTGAATATTTGTATGCATGTTTTCCATGGAATATAATTGCATTTTTAAGGGCATCGAAAATCAATGGAAAAATTGCATACTACGTAAGTAGTCATTTTTTTGCCGAGTATAGTTCTTGCATGCAGTCGGAAATAAGTTCATCCGAAAGAAGGCACCCTGAGGTAACTGGATCATTATAGCATTATGCTGGACGGTGATTAGTTTCACAACCTTACTTAATTAATCTCCTCGAAACGAGAGCGCATTTCTAAATTTCGGTTGACATTTCATGAGTTAGCCCACCCACTGCATACAGGCGAGGTGACAGTTGAATCGTCGCGAATGAAAATGTCCCCCCCCCTGTGTGCCGCGATGACCGACCGGCGCAGGAACGTTGACCTCCACGTGAATTAGTTTTCGGTGCTAGAAGTGTGCTCCAAAGCCAGTCTCCGCGGTAGATGCGCTGAACCGACACAGGAACTAGCAAGAGGTCCGGGAGGAGTTAATGGGAATACGCACCTAGTTGGGACCCCTGTCGCTCACTATTTTTCCTGATGTTTTATGTCTTGTTCAGTGTACCTTGCGGACCAGGGAGTGTGGTGGTACGCCTAGGTGCGGATTTTGTCCTGACAGCCTTCCCTCTCCTGCCTCCAGTCTTCCTGACTCCGCCATGACACCAAAACCAAGTATGGAGAGAACGAGTGAATGAGTTAGATGCAGCGCAAGTCTACTAACATCAGGTCACCGTCCCAGCTCTCACCCTGCTGCGGGACACGCGGTGGACATCGCCAGTCACGACGCTTGAACTGTCGTAGTGAGAGTAGACTTGCGCTGCATCTACCGTACTGCCTCCCCCCCCCCACCCACCTTGGCCTAGGGTGTCAAGACAGAGTCAAGATGATCGGAGGTGAGATCGGACGCAGTGACTTACAAGGTTAAGTAGCCCGTCTGTATGTGCGTGCTGCGCACGTCTGGTGGACCGGTGTTTCACAGAAACAATAAAGGAGTACTTCGGATCTCGAATGTGTGGGGGATGTCATAGGGGTCATTTTAAGGAGATGCCATCGCATTGTGACTCACCGTCTTGGACCGAATTCCGTCAATTGGCAACCCCCCAGGTTACGACTTCTAGCATATAGATTGTTTTTGGTGAGGAAAATACGCTGAGTGCTGTTCGGACAGAGTCCCCAGAGTCGATCGTACTTCCTCTTCCCTCGCCCACACACTGATCCACTATCCGAGTTGATTAGCCATCTAATGCGGGGATTGTGTGCAGTTGCTTTAAAACCGAATCGAAGTTCCAACGTCCCTACTGATCCTTATACCCTCCTTATCCACTTCTCCCACCAGATCACTCCGTTAAGACCACGCACGATTAATGCAGGCATGCCGCGCATGAGATGTCAGCCGTCTATGTTGGCGGCTTAGATAATTACATTCCACCTGCCTAGACACCGCAGTTCTCATGCCATTCTCATCTAACTGTACGTAATTCTACCGAGGCGATTCTCCCCTCTATCTCGTCTATCCAGACTGAAGTAAAACTGAGCGTAAAAGCGGACGCCTGCATATGCATGCAGGGTACACCACCAGTTTCGTACATCAAGAAAAGTTCATCAAAACCTAACGTGAGCATAACTTCTCGCTGAAACGTCAGCTCCCGCGTTTGGAGGACGCACCTGCGGATCCTGCCTTGACAGTTGCAGTGCCAACTTCTTGTGTTTCTGTCGGCCTGGTGGTGGTGGTGGTGGTGGTTTTTTGAAACGCATACATGACACATGAGCCCGCCGTTGGGAGATTAGAAGTCTGCCCATCGAGGCATTTCCCTTTTTGCGTTGATGTAAATCGGGTACGAACTCCGAAACAAGCCCGCTGTTGGTATACGCGAGCACGCACGTCCAAATGAGGGAGGGTTGTTTATAAGGCAGTGTCTCTCGCACGGACGTACGCGAGAGCACGTGTGCGTAGAGGATGTGCGCACCGCAATGGCGACACCGCAGCTGCGGGCGCCAATCTTGAACGACACGGTGCCACGACGTACAGCTCAGTGCCCAAGGAGGGTCCGCGTCGCCGGACGGACGCAACAGTACCTTGGCGGCTGAAGAACAACGGCGGCGGCGGCGGCGACGACGGCGACGGCGACGCGGAGAGGAAGGGGAGAGTGAGTGAACGTCTTTGGCGCCAACGGTCGTCATCGGAGGACAATAGCCATCTCTCTCAGTCTCGCTCTGACCGGCTTGTCTTTCCCCGTTAGACGCCATCCTCCTCCTCCTCCGCCTCTTCTGCTCTTGACTCAGGGTGGCGCCCGAGAGCAACTGGTTCATCTGTCAAAGTGGCCAGAGAGCACTCCCCTCACCTCGACGTGCGGCCCCGAGGCGCCTGACTTCCGATCGTTTGCATCAGGGGGCGACGACAATGGGTCAAACAGACAAAGGGCAACGACAACAACGCTGGGGACGGGGCTGACCAGCAGAGCTCTTTTTGCAACTTCTTTTTTGAAAGACTGTACCGTTGCTGGGCTGGTTTTTAAGAGTAGGGGGCCGGGAGAGAGGGGGGGGGAAAGCTGTGGGGACGGCGACTTCACTAATTTTAAGCTCAACCAGGCTGTTGTCGACAGCTCTGTAGCCATACGGATAACTAAACTTGTACGCATTAGCATCCAGCTGTTTTCTGAAGAGGGATTTATGTAACTATGCCTGCACCTTACTCTCATTTAATTGGGGAAAAGTACTAAAAGTCTGTCAGGCAGGCTGTTTTGGTCATATTCATGAACATATTCATGAGGGCCGACAAATCAACAATTGCGGGATTTAGCTTCATGATTTCATCTCCACTACTAAGGGATTATGCAGAAGTATTTTTGAAAAACTTGTTGGGTAATACTCCCTGCGTTTGAGTAAATATTCAACTTATACACTTCAGCAGAATGGCCGACTACTGACCGCACATCCAAACCTACCAGCAAGTAGTATGTTCTAACCCTACAAGAAATATTGGAATAAAATCGACTGATTTCCTCGAAACCTGGCATTTTTGTGTTTTTAAGCAGTGCCTATCTAGAGATATGCTCACACCATTTCCTTAACTAAATATACTGGAGAACAATAATTTCAATAGAATTAGTCTGAAAAATCGCGGGTATTCTGTGGCAGCTGGGCGGGTAAATTGACCCAGTGTGATTAAACTTACTACTTCCAGTGGCACCTCGTAGCTCAGGTTGTTAGAGCGTTGGCTATGGCTAAGTCTTCCCCTTGATGCTGGGGGTTCGAATCCCAACGAGGCAGCCGAGTTTTTCATGAATGGCCAAGGGAATACTAGCTTCCTCTGCAGACCCACTGACAACCAAAGACGAATTTAGAGGAGAGTCGATAGACGCTTGTCCTTTGCATAACTTCCTTTGCGGCACCTCCTTAGTTCTAGCTAAACCAACTCCCCTTCTCATATTTGTGAACGTCTTTGGGTCTTACGAAAGGGGTTTGTCTTTTTCAGATAACGCAGCTTCGACACACCAAGTTCGGATAGCCCTCAAACGTCTTCAAAGCTTCCTGACGGGGGTCGGAATAGGGTCGGGCTGGTGTCTTCCGGTGCGCTCTAAGAGAAAAACGCTGACGACCGTCCCCGTGATACTGATGCTGACATGCGCCAAGGCAAATGACAATCGGAGCATGTCTACTTCAATGAGTATCCGCCCTGTCATTGATCGTGATCAACAGAAGCTCACAGAGGCTGATTCTGGTTGTGTACCCGACTGCTCCGAGGCAGGAGGAACTGCCCAGCCGTGGTTGCACATCTCCTACTGGGAGTGTAACCACCATATAGGCCACCGATGGTTACCCGTCTCCGAGACCGACGTTATTGTACTCAACGAAGAGGCGACCGCCAGTAAACTGGACCTTGCTCTGCCCAGTCGCCTTTTTTCCAACGATCCGTCGCCTCCAGATCAACTGTTCTCTAGTCTGGCAAGTCCAACGAACCTCTGGAGTCGTAGGGGACACCTATGCCTGGAGCGTCTTGTAAAGCGTTGTGCGGCCTATCGCAGTGAGGCAGCAAGACCAGAGTATCAACTGAACAGTCTGCTCGACTGTCAGCCAGGCCTGGCCTACAACTTCGATTGTATTCAACGACGGGCTGACTGCCAGCAGGCGGGGACCTCGACCAGACAACGTTTAAGGCTCGGAGCTGAGGGCATTAGTCTTCTGCTGTTGCCTGGCGGAAAGGTGCTCCTAACTAACCGGACCTTGTCACCCTCGATGCCCATCTTTGTGGCCTCCCCCTGTTTCGTCATGGACGGACATGACCTCATTTCTGATTGGCCTGTAGCTCGTGTGGCTCCCGGTCACTCGCTTACCGTATTTGACCTGAGCGTCTATCAGAGACTCTGTGGCAGTCAAGATCCTACGCAACACTGGCCGGGTAAATCTCTGGCAGGGCCTGTCATACATATCAGTCTGGGCAAAGGTTGGGGTCCCTCCTACCGACGTCCTGACATCACATTCTGTCCCTCCCGCCTTGAACTTTGGCTCAATCTGCCCGCCATGAAGACCCTTTTTCGGAGATGAGACAGGACCAGTGTTGAAAGTGTCAGACTCCTTGTGTTTCCTGTACAACACTTCTGCTTGGAGGTGACTGTGTAGACTGCGACAGGCCAGAATTTATACATATTGTACATACATGGGTGCTGCCCTGTAGAAATATTTTTATATGCTTAGATGTGCTTATGCCAACTGGAGACTTTTGCATTAGGGAGTTTAAATTATTATCGGTATTTGACTAACGAACGTACCTACAATACCCAAATCGGATATTAACAACCGGAATATCTTTGAGTTCGACTGCGTATTTATACATACCGGACCTAGTCAATTCTAAGTAATAATGGCAGTGAAGGTTGTATCCCATATATATATATTCAATCAGGAAAGGGCGTACACCGATCTATTGGCTTCACGAAGCAAACAAGCTCCGTATGGGTGGCAAAGGTCACGAACAGGCAACCAATTACCAGGCCGAAGTCGGCCAAGTCATAATAGCAGCAAGGAGGGACGACAGAGAATGCGGGTAGATTGATACAGTACTGTTTCGGGCTTATTGTGCCTTCATTCAGCCAATCATAACCCTGACCACCAGCAGCTGGGACCAGAAACACAAACATGCGCACAGACGCATATATATATATATATATATATATATATATACATATATCGCGTTCATCATCTCCCGAAGAAGACGAAGAAGAAGAGAGGGCGAATTCATGGTCCATGAATTCGCCCTCTCTTCTACTTCGTCTTCTCTGGGAGATGATGAACGCGATACAATGTCTGGACCTCGAATTTTTACACATATCGTGGCTCGTGGCCCCGTGAGTAGAGGCGTTGACTTCTAAACCAACAGGTCGCGAGTTCGAGGCTCGGGTGTTCCACACTTCGGGCTTGGGTATGGCTGGCTGACGACGGCTAATAAGCCAGAAATGGCCATTCCAGTCTCCCTTGTCTTTGTCGGTAATACCATTCTGCCTATATATATATATATGTATGGAATACTGACAAAGAAAAGGGAGACGAGGATGGTCATTTCTGTCGCATTGGCCGTCCTATACATATATATGCTCTCTGGTCTCTGTGTTGACGCCGAAGAAGGTTAGATTAAAACCCAAGGCACAGCAAAATGAGCACGTCCCGTAACCTGATCGATCAGCGCTGGCTCCCATACTTTCATTTATTTTAGGTCGCCACGAGAGGCGAGTAGACCATCGTCCACTCGACGCAGTGCCGGCTTGCGTGTGCATTTGTTTACAGAGAAGCAGACGTATGCAACAGTTACGTATACACTCTCTAGTTAAATGCACATTGCAACCTGACCCTCGCTCTCAGATAGGACTGAGTTATTCCGTCACCTGACAGTCTGTCAAGTCACGACTTTTTTCACACTTACACTGAGGAAATTAAGCACCTGGTCAGAGCTTTATCGGTGCGAGCCAAATTACTGCCAACTGATCGCGCAATTGGACGCAGTGAGTGACTTTGCATCAGGCTCCACCTGACGAGTGTCCTGTAGACGCCAATCTCTCACTCCACGTGAACCACACTCCACTACAAACATAGACTTTTCCTAGGCGACAGATGCACATATTGGTATTCTATGTTTCACCCGTAGTAACGTAATTGTCAAATATCGCTCCACGTTTTTTGCGCGAGCGATATGTGGTGTTTTGCTTATCTTTGATGTGTAGACACATTATCGAACAGAACTAGGCACTTTCTGGATGTTTGTGTGCGTGAAAAGGGTGGAAATGTAAACATTTAAGGTCTGTAAGCGTCCGGTATGTCAGGATCAGCAAACCACGGCCCTCGCAGCCTGTTATGCGCTGGTAGTTCTCTGGCTCCTGGTTCCCTACCGGTAGATGGCGCTTGCGCTCCCGATGGGTATACAGATCATACGCATGGTTGCCCAGTCATTCTCGTCTTTCCGACCCGTTGTTTTGCTGTTATTGGTTAGAAATCCTAGAGAAGTGCTTGTTGTGGGCCAGGACGCCCAAGAAACGTCATTAAATATGTCCGACTAGAGTATTACGACCCATGCCACGGCAACCCTGGTCCAATAGTGCGGGCGAATATTATGCGAACTGGACTACTTAATCGAGGACGGATTCTTGGTATTGGATGCTGAAATATGCGAACGTTCCTGGACCCTGGTATTCAAAGTCTGACCGCGCGCAGCCTTAATCAGTACAAGGTGGATGTCTACTGTCGGTCTGAAGTTCGAGTTCCTGACTCCAACTTTCGGGGAACAAATATCCATGGAGTCGACTCACACTTAACCCTGTACCACAGCGGCCCACCCCACTCCTATGGTAAAAACGGTGTGACGATCGCCCCCTCGCAACAGGCGGACCTCGTTTTACTTGCTTGGAAACCAGTCAATGACCAGATGGCCTGCGTGTGAATGAAGAGTCACTTCGCGAACTATCGTCTCTGTTTACGCACCAACTTCAATTGCTGAACAGTGCGATAAAGAGGCGTTTGATTCGCAGTTGCAGGCGTTAGTTGAAAGACTGCCTCGCCGCGATCTGCGGATTGCCGATACAGGCGAAGATGTGAGTTCCAGGAACTAGTTGATAAGAATAAGAGGCGATCGCTGGAACAAGGGCTTTATTCTCCTGACGTTTCGGATTCTCACTTGAACCCATCATCAGAGACAGTGGCAGAAACGGGTGACTCGTGTATAGGAAGTTGCAGTATTTATAGGATGCAGTCGTTATGCTACCGCATACCTATGGTACTTAACCGCGCTCCCCTTCACCAAGAATTGCTGCCCGCTGGTGCGCTAATAGCTTGATGGCCGGCATGCGCCGTAGAAACTGGAAGACTTCTCCGGACGCGAACTGCCGAACACGCGGCAGCGGTGCGGAGAAATGACGCCAACTCTCAGGTCGCGGCCCATTCGACGAGAACAGGACACACATTCAAGTTCGATGAAGCCGAAATTCTTGAGAGAGGCGTGAGCAGCTATTTGCTTGAGTCATGGTTCACGGGACCTCAGTCTATCGACAAGTGCAACGATATCCCCACTCCATATTCTGTGCTGAGGCATAGGCTGGCCAAAACAATTGACCACTTGGGGAGCGCGCAAGGCCGGTGAGCCAGATGGTCGAGCAATCATCACGCCAGCGTCCAACACGGGCGCTGAGATTTCAGTAAGTAACAACTTGCATGTCGGCCATCAAGCTATTAGCGCACCAACAGGCAACAATTCTTGATGAAGGGAAGCGCGGTTAAGTACCATAGGTATGCGGTAGCATAGCGACTGCATCCTATAAGTACTGCAACTTCCTATACACGAGTCACCCGTTTCTGCCACTGTCTCTGATGATGGGTTCAAGTGAGAATCCGAAACGTCAGGAGAATAAAACCCTTCCTCCAGCGATCTCCTCTTCTTCTTATCGATCTGCTGATTGTTGCTGGTAGTTGGGATGGTCGAACTAGACCTGGTTACCGCACAAACAGTCATCTTCTTGGCCGCTTCGCGTTTGGTTCCCGATGTGAAAATGGTGAGAGATTGCTGAACTTCGCTTATCGAAACCGACTGCTTGTCACCAACACATGTTTCCAGCATCGCATAAAACACCTGCTGATCTGGTATTCAAAAGACGGCCATACGGTCAGTCAAACTAACTACATACTAGTCAGCTGAAGGTTCCGCAGCTAGGTTCACGATGGCAGATCGATGCGTTGTGCCGAGACTGGTAACGCCCATGGGTCGGACCATGTCCTCATTCGTACACGCCTAAAAGTTCACCTCTCATCCGCGCCAAAAATGTCGCGTTCTACACGCCTCGATGTCGCAAAGATCCGACAAACCAGTACTGCTGAGCAGAGGAATCCGGTCCTGTTTCACCACCCGAGCGGACGGAGAAGGTCGTCACTGAAGACGTCGGTCTATGGGGCAGCGGAGAAAATCCTTGGATACACCCAGCGAAGCCGCAGTGACCAGATCAGCGGAAGAACCCTGCAGTTGTATGCTCAGACGGCACGAGCCAGGTCCTGTAATGATGATTCTTTCCGCCTACTCCAAAATATGACGGCAGAGTCGGCCAGCGATGACTGGAAGCAATATTGGGCTGAAATAGAGACCTCCATGGAACAGGACTCGAACGTTGCTGACACTTGAAATCTCTACCAACTTAAACGCCAAGTTAGTGGTAAGCCCTAAGCATTGAGTGGCTCTGTTCGCGACGTGAATGGTGGCTTTATTGTTGACAACTCGGCCTAATTCAAGCGCTGGCATGGGCATTTTGAGCACCATCTCAAATTCGATACCTAACACACTAAGCCCTTGTTCTCCTCTGTAGCAGAGTTTCTCCTCTCTACAACCGATGCGACTCCCCTTCTGAAAGAGAAGTCGCCGATGTCATACAAAGGCTATGCAACAATGAGGCACCCCGAGAGGACGGTATACCCGATGAAATCAACAAGTCTTGTGTCAACACTCCGGCGCCCTGGCTTCATGAGGTGAGTGAACAAGTGTGGAGAGACGAGGTTGCTCCCGATGACTGGGGTTCAAGCATCCTTGTACCTATCCTCAAGAAGGGACATAAGACGAGATGCGAGAACTACCACGACATAAGCCTTATCGACGCTGCTGCAAATATAATTCAAGTAAAGTACACGGACTTCGTCTCAAATCAGACAGCCTGTACTCGCTGCAACAACATCGCAATTATAACTCAGAGTATCCAAGAAAGACGGATGAGGTGGTTTGGGCATATTCTTCGTCGTCCACCTCAGAAGCTCATTGTTACTGCCCTCGATTCGGCACCGTTACACTATTAGAGACGTCGAAGAGGTGGTTAACTCAAAACCTGGCTCGGCAAAATTCGTCAAGACATGGAGGTAGCTCGTGGATCCTCAGTATTCGGTATCCGTCGTTAGCGAAGAGAATGGACTGATCTGTCCAGGACTGCTGCGTGGATCGTCACGCATGAGAGGAACAGTTCGGGAAATCATCGAGGCTGGCTAGATCAGGCATGATCGCAGCCGTACCGAGCATAAATACAAGCAAG